AGGCCCGCGGGATCAGGAACCCCCGCCCAACCGGGGGGTCCCCCCTGCGCCGCGTCTCTGCTGGCCACAGCCGCTTTTGGTGGGGGTGGATGTCCTTTCTCCGGTGGCTTTGGCTCAGCATGGGGCACCTATCTGGGCTGGGGGGGTGCCTGAGAGCGTGGGGGGTGACCCCATGGGACCCCGAAGCCAGAGGGGCAGGTGGATGGCTGGGGATCCACCAGGAGATCTGCTGGGGATGGTGCCTGTCCTGGTGTTACCCTCGCATGCTCTGTGCTTATCTGTCAGGGCTTGGGAAGGGGGAAACTGAGTCGCAGCAGGGTTGCCGGCTGACCAAGCTCGCCGAGGGCAGGGGGCATGAGAGGGGGATCTGAACCCCCACATCTCGCCCTCTGGCCAGGAAGGAACCCAGCTGGGTGTGGCAAGCAGGGGCTGCTCTGCAAACCACCCCCACAGCACAGGCTGGCCCCGTCGGTGAGCTCACCTTCCTACCTTACCCAGGCGGGATCCCTGCTGCCTGCCAGGCTCGGGCTGCCCTGTGGTCCTTTGTGAGACTGGGGTACGCTGGAATACCCCTGCGGACCCGTCCCACTGCCTGTTAACCATCCCCATGCGGCATGGGGGAGGCGAGCGGTATCCCCGAGTGGCTCATGGCTTCGCCTGCCATCCTTCCTCCTCCTTGAAAGGGCTTTGTGGTCGGTGCCGGCTGCATGGTGGATTCCCGCTGTGGTCCCCATAGCCACCAGTTGGCTGAGAGAGTGTTTGGAGGCTGAAGAGTGGTGATGGGGTGCTTCTTCCTTTGGCTGTTTTGGGGGTTCAGATGTCCCCTATCCTGGGTGGATGAAGGATGCTTTGCCAGCACTGTGGTGGCTCTCCTCAGGGGGCCAGGCTGGCTCCAGGGAGGCAGGAGGAGACTTGCAGCTGGATGTTGCACTTCTGGGTTTGCAGCGGGTTGGAGGATTGCTGCAGAGAAAATTTTGGGGTACCGCAGAAGCAGGTGGGCAAAGCTGGATGGGGAACATCTATGGCCTAGTTTGGTTTTGCTGAGAAAACCAGTGCTGATGGAGAACAGGGTGCTGGGACTGGCATGGAGCTGGTGGAGGGGTTGTCCCCAGGGTCTGCATGTGTGACCATGGTGGGGAGACAATGGGCTCTGCCATCCTGGGGTGGTGCGAGAGAATGCAAAAGGGCTAGGCGTGTGTCCTTGACCCAGCAGCTCCCCGTACTGGCTGTCCCTTGGACCCACCAGGCTGCCCCCAGCATCCCCCCCTCCTGCCTGTCTCCCACCTCCATACTGTCCCCATCCCTGGCCCTGCCTGCCCCCCCTTTTTACTGGGGCTGGAAGGGGGGTGGCTGGGGCCTGGCCAAGTCCAACATCTGCAGGAGACTTGCTAAATCCCCACCTGAGTCATGCTTCTGGCGCGGGGCTCCCCTGCAGCTCAGCCCCGTGCAGCGGGGCAGGGCTGGCTGGGGTGGGGAGCAGGATGAGCATCCCACCCCTCTGGGGATGGGAGGTCACGGCAGAGCCTGACCCCCACCCTGTGGCAAAGGCTGGGGGGTCCCAAAGCCCCCAAAATCGAGCTGGATGCTGGTCCTGCACCTTTCTGTGGGGCAACAAGCCCCTAGATGGGGTCGCTGTCATCCGTTGGTCCCCCAGGAGGGTGGGCATCTCGTGGGGTACATCTTCCCTAGTGGGGTCAAATCCTGCCCCACTTATCTGGGGCTGAGGCTGCCCAGGAGGGCCAGC